ATAAAACAAATCAGCTAAAAGCACAGGAAATTACTACATTTTCCTAAATTAAACAGATAATCACTTAACAGTTAAAACAGATATAAACATATGTAATAATAATATGCATCACCCAAAATTAAAACTCTTCACTGTCAAATTAGATGTTACAAGTCTGTCTAGAAAGAACAAGCTGCTGGAAAGATGGGAGGAGGCACCCCACAAACTAAGAGGAGTCACAGAAAAAGGCCTTTTCATGGCCCCACCCAAAATGCCTGAAAAGATGGCAGGACACAGGGAAGGCCATCCCCTGAAGATCCTAAGAGCTGAGAAGGCTCATATGGGGAGGTGCAGTCCTTCAAATAGCCTGTAACCAAGCCATATGTAGGGCTGTATAGATCATAATCAGTGCTTTGAATTGGGCTTGGAAACAAATTGGCAGGCGGTGAAGCTGTTGTACCAGAGGAGTTACAGGCTCCCTGTAACTGGCCCCAATCAGCAGTCTGACTGCAGCATTTTGCACTAGCTGAAGCTTCCAAAACCATCTTCAAAGGCAGCCCCATCTGGAGCACATTACAGGAACCCAAGCAGGAGGTGACTAAGGTATGTGTCCCCATAGTTAAACCAGATGCTTCCAGTAATGGAACTTTAACTGTGAAAGTGGACTCCTGGCCACTCGTGAGACGTTGGCATCCAGGCTCAGATATGGGTTCAGGAATACACCCAAGCTGTAAGCCTGAGTTGCCAGGGGAAGTGTACCCCATCCAGCACAGGTTCAATCCCTGTTCCCTGATCTGCTTTTTGATTGATCAGGAACACCTCTGCCTGGATTAAGTCTCAGTCTGTTTGCCCTCATCCATCCCATTACCAAGGTCAGACGCTGGTTTAGAACAGAAAAAGTTTTCTTGGAGTTAGATGAAAAAGAGAGGTAGAGTTGGGTGCCATCCACATACTGGTGACACCAAACTCCAAAACTCTGGACATTCTCTCCCAGCAGTTTGATGTACATGTAAATAGCAAGTGTGGGTGGGGGAATAGAAACCTGAGGGACAACAGCCAGGGCACTGAATAGAAGTCCCCCCCCCAGCCATTACCTTTTGAGATAATCACTCCAAGAAACAGTGCCTCCAAGTCCCATCTCAGAGAGGTGGCCCAGAAGGTGACCATGTTCAATGGTATCAAAAACTGCTGAGAGGTCAAGCAGAATCATAAGGGACACAATCCATCTGTCCAGTTCCAGGCACAGGTCATCCACCAAGGTGACCAATATAGATAAAAGCAAAATAGGAAAGTAAAAAATTGACGAAAACGTGGTGGCCCCTTAAAGATTAAAAGTGACTAAAGATCTCTCCATCCCATATCCAGGCTTAAAGCCAGACTGAAATGGATCAGATAATCTGTTTCATCCAGGAACCCTTGGAGTTGAGAAGCCACCACATGCTCAAATGTCCTTTAACACATGAAAGCTTCTGAAAAATAATAAGTACGGTAATTACTCTTATGGGTGTCACATGACTATTTCTAATTTATGCTTTTGCATAAACTACGGCATCCAAGTCGGAATAAATCTAAGATATTTTGTCTGCAAAATGGCAGGCATGTTCTTCCCAGCAGGCTGTCAAGTAGTCACCATCTTGTTCTTGTGGGCAAAAATATAATACTGTAGGCCCCTGATCACCCCAAACAGCTTTGTTGGGCAGCTATGTGTAGATGCCATGGCAGCAGAGAAGAAGCATTTTTGCTGCAGCTATTGCCACAAAGTAAGCCTTTAAATGAGCTCTAGTCTGTGTTCGGCTGGATTCGCTCAAACCTTCCAATGTTGTCTCATGCAGTTATGAGCATGAGATCCTCTGAACCAAGCTAGGATTGTCCAGATAGAATAGGTGGCAGAGTCCAAGGACAGTTAAAATACAGTTATGATTAGACAAGTTGCTTCTTTTGGCAACAGTTCCCAGAATCCCTCAGCCCAGCATGGCAGGCACTTTTGCAACACTTTTGCCTTTCACATGTTCTCACTTGTGGAAATTTAACATAGCCGGATGCAAAATATAGGTACAGTGATTATATTTTCATGCACAGTACATTGCAATGTCCTATGAAAGTGCATTCCCATGAAGCAGCAATGTCAAAAGTACGGTACATTTTTCTTGTGTTATGTTACAGGCCCTTCCTTGTCCCATGTTATTGCTGGACTCATTATTCTTAACTAGATTTTTGCTAAAATAAGTTGATTTTTTCTTTCTTTCAAATGTATCTGCCAAGCACATTGCTGGAATGCATTTGTTACTAATGGCACTCTGCAACATTCACATTGACCTAATTGTGGGGTTTGGCCTGAAAAACTGACACATTTCATGGAACTGGTACAAGTGTTTAGAGAAAAAGATGTGATGTGAAAAAGCACACCACCATCTTGTATTTTGAAAAATGAAAAATAGTGTTTTTCTCTGCTGTCACATTATTGAGATATCGAAACTTTTTTTATCCTAACAACAGAATCTGAACAATTAAAACAGAAAGTACTGAAATGATTGTCTTAATACAATACTGCAGAATCAAAAGAGAAAGGAAAAATAAGAAATTATGTCATAGCACTTCACAGATTTATTTCAGTGTGAGCTTTCATGGAACACAACCCCCTTTTCAGATACAGGAAGGGCAAACATGTGTCCTCTGTACTTATTCCCATGGTGGTGAAAGGCACCATGGGAATATATTGTGACAAACCCAGACCTACTGTCCCCTTTTCAGATACAGGAAGGGCAAATATGTGTCCTCTATACTTATTCCCATGGTGGTGAAAGGCGCCATGGGAATATATATCCATACAAGAGTTTCTATTGGTATCTGTCAGGATCCCCACGTGGCCCCCATACAAGAGTTTCTGTTGGTATCTGTCAGGATCCCCACGTGGCCCCTGCTTGTTTCACCAAAATAAGAGCTCACACTACATGCCCCTCAGTTGCTACCAGTTGATTACATCAACATTACCTATTACGTATTAATAATCAAGGTCCAGGCCATATGCCATTTTAAAAGAACCAAATAGAAATTGTTTATTGTTACAGGTGTTGACAGAACAAGCAATGTTGTTAACTCTTAAACAAACATTGTCCTTTATCCACTCTCAACCACCCCTCCCCCGCCCAAACTCCAAAACTCTCTCTCAAACTCCTCAACTAATCTCAAACTCCCTATCTAAACTCCCCCCTCCTCCTGCTGAGTCTCTCATATCTTGTGACTCTGCCCCTCCAGCACTCCCATTGGTCTATGCAAATATCAGATGAATATTCATGACCTCAGCGGACACCACAGTATCAAACCACATGCATTCCAGGGACATATTAATTTAATACTTTAAATCAGAATCCTATGTTCACGGGAATGGAGGCAGATGTGTCTCACACAGCATAATCTTAATGCATGTTTCCTCAAAAGTCCAGCCACGCCACACTTAATCCCTATGAAGTGTGCTTTGAATTGTTATCCTAAGTGACACCATGCAGCAGGACCTGATATCAGGAGTGAAAGTTACTGTATAAATCACACACACAAAAAAACAACATTAAGAAGATTTGCACGGGGATGAAATAATATGCCAGTGTAATAAAAGTTCTATGTTCATATGCCATACGTCTCAGCACATCCAAAACAATGCATACCATTCTCCTGTGTTATATGCAGAACAGCCTGGAGGAATCACAGAGATCAGAATGAGCACAGAGCAAGTGTAACATACAATTCCATGGCACTCAGGGCCATTATTGGCTCAAGACATTCTGCTTCTCTTAGTTAAGACTGATTATCTAAATCTATTTGAACCATGGTTTAGATCTGCACATGGGACCTAAACAGTCTCAGTCTCTGTTTGGGATAGCGTATGTTAGGAGAAGGAAGCAGAAATGAACTAAGAACAGATCAACATCTCATCCTGTTGCACCATACCAAAATTTAGGGCCATGCTAGATGTTAAGAGAAATACATACTTGCTATAATTAACATGCTTTCCTCCCAGTGATGGGATTTCCACAGAAGTGCATGCCTCAGCAATAAGATACCTGAAGTTAGCCCATGCTTATCTTTCAATGGCCAATCTGGAAACAAATACTGTATTACTAAATGGAGGCAAGAAAAAGCAATTCCATAACTAGAAATCTCTCACCACTTGAGGGAGTGCTTCTTCTAAGTACTTCTCATTCTCCCCCCCCCCCCGAGATTAGCATATTGCCTAGTTTAGCCCTAGACTGCAACCTCACTAACTTCCAAGATTCTTAGAGCCAAAAGTAACACTGAGTCCATGTATGGACTTAAAAAAACCACAGGAGTAACTTACTAATAACATCCACAGTGTACACCCCTTTACATATATGTGTAGTAAGCTTATCACAATGACCTTCTTCTTCTTCCAAGGAGCTCCAGGTAGAAGGCATGTTTTTTTTCCCCTTCCCCCAGCTTTATTCTCCAAGCAATCCTGTGAGGTAAGTTAGGCTGCAAGGATGGAGGCTGACCTACTAAGTGAGCTTCATAGCTGAGTGGAGATGTGAAGCTGAGTTTTGCCAGGCTGAGTCCGGCAGTTTTAACTACTATCGCACATTGATTCATCACCTGGAGAGAAACCCAGAAAGTTTTACATAGTCTTCAATGGCGTGAGAACTCCAAACGGGAGAAATCTTTTCCGGCTTTTGTCATTATGCTCCAAATAAATTTTTCTAGCACCTTAACACCAATTACTTCAGTAGATCAACCAAACTCCAAAAACTGATTGTGCAACTTTAATTTTAACCCTGCTGATGCTTTAGCCAAGCTCCTTCTTCTCCAATGGCTTCTGCCAGCTCAGTTCTGCTGCCTTCACCCACCCATGCAGAACTTCCCAGAGCCCCATGGGCCTGTAACTCGGGCAGGAGACTGTGACGTGCCCATCACCCAGCAGTGTCCACGGCTAGCTCAGATGAGTATAGAGAAGCAAAAAACATTCTTGAAGCATACTGAGGGATTCTTGTGGACCAGCATGTCACACTTACCTGCACACATCTCTCCATCGTATGCTTCACAGACCCACTCATGACATTCACACAGTGGGCCATAGTATTTGCCTGGCTCCGTCACTTGGCAGATGCAGATGCCACAGTTGCACTGGCCTCTGCCACTGCACAGTTTTCCACCCGAGATTCGACATCTGCGCTCTGACTCGGACTGGGACAGTCTGCAAGATGAGTTGTTTCCCAAACCATTGCTGCTGGAGATGAAAAGGACAAGTAGTTACAAACATATTCACAGACCTTGCCTCTCTTATTGGGTCTGTCTGACAAAATAATTTAAGATTATGTCAGCACTAAACTCAGGCATAGAAGGTTTTCAGAAAATGCACACATCCAGGATGCTAAATAAAAATGAGGCAAAGCACTTGTGAGTAAAAATCTATTGGATCAGACATTAACCGCAGATTATGACTTCAAAATCCACAACAAGGTTTTAATTCCTGTTTCTTGAATTAAAATCCAAAGTGACTTGAGGAACATGAGTCCTGAGAAACAACTTGTTTCAGCAGTAAGAAGGAGGAACACTTTGCTATATAATGGTTAGAATCCTATTGTGGATTTACAATACAATTGTGGACATGACAGTGGAGAATAGAGACCAATCAACAATTTGCGACTTGGATTTGTAGCTGCACATCAAGTTGCACAACTGGCAGAGGACAAGGAACATGAGCGGCAACTCATTTGCGAGCAACAATTTACTGTCCACAGTTTATACCACTGCACGGCGTAAATCTACAAAAGAATCATGGCTGTTATTTATTGTACTAGAGCTGAGGTGCTTGTGAAGGAGATATTTTAAAGAGATTCCTTCTTTCACCCTGACAACAATTGTTTCAGGTAGTTAGCCCAGAACCGGTTATCTGTCCAGCTTCATAATAGTTAGGATTTCAATGCAATTCTTCCTAGCCACTGCACTGCCTATTCTCTTGCCTGCTACTTTCTTCAGCCACCATGCTCCCTCAGCGTGAATGTCCACCTGAACACTTGGACTAACTGGATCACCCTCTGTGATTAGCACAGGACTGAGAGACACAGACAAGCCCAGCAGATATCCATGAGATGCCCAAGTATATTGCGGAACGCCAGTCAGAAGTGAGGAGAAGGCACGATTTCTTCCTACTCTATGGATTAGTGCCAGACTGTAACCTAGGCTGATTTTTAAAAACAAAAAACACACACACAAAAACAAAACAAACATTCAGCTATACTCCTGTTTGAGACATTAAGCTGGTTTCCACCTGGTTCACACATCCTTCCACCTGTGAGCTCTTGTGCTTATGTATGGATAAAAGCTAGTTCACTAGCAAGTTCACTTGCTGACATCTCTGTGACCCTGACTGCTGGGAAGAAAGAATAACAACATGGAAAAAAAGAGGTTCTGGTTCCCTGTGAGTGTGTCTATTTTGCCCACTGCATGAAAGGAGTTAGCAATGGATAAACTATTCCTTATCTATACATGTACTACACTTGACTCATACTCTTTCCCATCTTCATAAGAGTGCCTTTCATAGTGGAGATGCTTCAAAGATTCCAGAGGTAAAGAAGGACCTCCAGCTTGAACCAAGCCACTGAGCTATTATGTGAATTAATTATTAGTAAACCTTAAATCTCAGAATGAAGCAGTGACCCAGTTGTCTCCCAATCTCATTGCAATTGTCTACAATGCTTAAAAGTTCTGGAAATGACAAGAGCCTCCCAAAGAGGTTCCAGAAGATGATATCTTGGTTTATACTCAAGATTAAAGGGGATGTATTATTTACCTCATGAATTCTCCTTTCCCACATTTGACACAAATACAATGCTTGTAATGTTTCCTGGTAGCACGGGGATATACGGATGATATGATCCAGATAACAGCTTAGCTATAAGTGCATGAGAACATCCAGAACAGGCTTCAACTCTTGAATTTTTTTAAGTACAGGGCTGAATGTTTGTGGGGTTCCAAATGTGAGATCATGATGCTGCACCTTAACCAGAATGTATCCATTTCTTTTTTGTTATCAATTTTCTGATAGAAAGGCCAAAATTGGTCTAGATTAACATATTGTAATTTCTTCAAGGCTGCCTTCACCAGGATCATGAGTGTATATGGAGCTGACTAAAACTGGCATATGAAAAATTGAGAGGGTTAACTGAATTACATTAGGAACCTAGGAGAACAAAATCAACAAATCTGATGAAGATCCAGCTTGCACTCATTAGGGCTGACTTCTATATTAGAGGCATTTTTCTCCTTAACCTTGTAATCTGGAATAGCTGATGTATCACACATGTCGGTGGCTAACATTCAGAATGCATTTGAAACTTTGCTTCTGCATAAGGATTTTCACTTTACAGAGGGAAGCAGTGTGTGGAAGGAGAGAGAGAGAGGGAGAGAGGGAGAAAGAAAATCACACACACACACCTCTTAATGCCGCTTTCTTTCCACAACCTGCTGCCCAGACCCAGAAGGTGAACTGCTAAATAAACCGACAAAGCTTACCGTAGGGACAGCGAGAAACTTTGTGGAATCTCAGGCAGTAGAATGAACAGTGGGGATGTCGACAGAAGCAGCACCATGCTGAGGACTCCCTGTGTGTACATGGTCAGATCCCAAGGCAGCAGCAAATGAGGAGTTCAGCAGGAAAGTCCGAAATACAGACAGACCCAGGAGGCTCGCAGAGTTTCCAGCTGGCCAAAACCGGCTCCTTCCCCCTGTGCTCCACCAAGTGCCTTTGATTAGCTGCCTGGAAGCTGGATTTGGGCAGCATCCTGGAAGGAAAAACTGGTGCCAAACCCCAAAGTTTACAGTCTAGGCAGGGAAGTAATTAGAAACAGTTGTACAGCCAGATGGTTTATTTTGACATAATAAAGTGTCCTGAGCAAGCGAGTCTCATTCTTGAAAGACAGGCACTATAAGCATTTGCAGAAAGTACACTCGAGTAAACTTTGATTAACCGAGGTTTTGAGATAATCGTGGCACAGTGACGAGGGAGAAAGGTCTATTTGGCAGAAAACGTTAACACTTTTCAACTGTATCCAAGTGCAATGTTAAGAGTTCAGGTGAATGCCTCAAATTCTTCAGAGTAGCTAGGGAAAAAAAAAGAAACAAAGTCAGTTTTCTCCTCCCCTTCAGTCTTGGTTTGAAAAGGCAGCATACTATAAACAGTTCAGGCTGACTCCAGGGTCAAAACATTGTTCCTTGGCATGTGTAGATTTTTACACATTAAGTGGCAGCAAACCTAGACTTGCCACACAGTGGATACTTTCCAGATATGATGTTGAGATTTGTAAACACTTATTCTATAAGTATTTTATATTTTTAGGCATTCAGAGAAAATATTTGCTGTATTTTCTGTATACAGTATATATCATCTGTGACACAATATACAGTATATGTGTTTAGTACTGTAGGAGTGAATGTGAAATGTACAGTTCTCCAATCAGATAAGGCTCAAGAGGTTCAGGAGCAAATTAGAGAATACTGTACGTGAACTTCAGGTTCTTGGGATAGCTGAATTAGGGCCGTTTGCTTCCCTTTGGATTTTCCAGCATCCAAACATTACCCAGACACCCTCAATATGAAACTAAAAAACTCTTCAGTGCAACACTTAAGATCACTTAGACATGAAGCTTTAAATAGCTTTTCAAAATGTACAGATCTTTGAATTGTAGTTATTCAGTACAGATAACATATAATATGCAAGAAAACATTACATATCTTACCAGATTTACATACATGACTCAGCGAGATGTGACATCTTCATACAATTTACAATAACTTGATGTGCAGTCCACAATCACTCACTGACACAGACTTATTTCCATGATTTCTGTGGTGTTGTTTTTAATTCCAGTGCCTGCGATTGGTCTTTTCCGAATTCTGTCAAACAGTAAACAGAACATCTTCACTTTTAGCTATATTAAGTAAAGGAAACTGTGTGCAAAATCTTGAACAAGATCCTAGAAGCTACTAGCTCATGCATCTAGCTCAACTGCTCATGTCCATGTTTGCTAGTATCCTTCAAACACATGAAGTGAAAGCTGAACAAAGAGGAGGAATTATTTCCAGTTGAAAAGACTCCTCTGACTAGGCACCTGATCACAGTACTTATTTAGGTTTCAGAAATATGGGCCACTACTTACCAAAACAATGACAACAACACACAATGAATAGGTGATTTTCGTTCATGCAATGACTTTTTGTAAGAAGCTCATGATTAGTACGACAGTGTTTTAACCACTGCGCCACGAGACTCTTTTAGCTATATTAAGTAAAGAAAATTGTGTGCAAAATCTTGAACAAGATCCTAGAAGCTACTAGCTCATGCATCTAGCTCAACTGCTCATGTCCATGTTTGCTAGTATCCTTCAAACACATGAAGTGAAAGCTGAACAAAGAGGAGGAATTATTTCCAGTTGAAAAGACTCCTCTGACTAGGCACCTGATCACAGTAGTTATTTAGTTTTCAGAAATATGGGCCACTACTTACCAAAACAGCGACAACAACACACAATGAATAGGTGATTTTTGTTCATGCAATGACTTTTTGTAAGAAGCTCATGATTAGTACGTTCATTGCCACTTACTTGTGAAAGATTTAGATGGCATTCAGATTGTAGATAAGTACAAAATTAGTAGTGGTGGGGAAAAGCCACTGGGTTCAAAACTTCATGATACATCTACAAGACATGCATTGAAAACAAGTCCCTCAAAAGACTAACATCTGTACAGACTGAATCTAGACTTTTAAAAAGTAGCAGAGAACTTTTTAGAACCTATTTTATTTTTTGTTTGCTGCCTTTTTCTACACAGAACATAATAACGGATGGCAAGCTTTCAAGACTTCCATTTTTAACACACTTGAAATTTTGGTACTTTTGATAATTTGTTGATCATAAGAAGATTTTGTGGATCTAAGACGTGAGCCAGGGCAGAACTTGGGAAAGTTACTATTATGGATGATAATTCCTAGAGCCCCCACAAGCCAGCATGGTGAATAGTCAAGATGGTTGGGAGATTCTGGGAGTTAGAGTCCACAACAGTGACTCTTTCTAGTTCTGATCCAGGCAAAACTAACAGTGTGCCAGTCCCATTATGTCAATGACAGATGTTTGCATACTTTGATCTCTGAATAAGATTGGATGCAAATAGATGCACTTTAATACCACCTCCTTTTATCTGTATTTTGCTTCAGGATCCTCACCAAGAGCAAAAGCAGGATATGAACTTTAAAATAATAACAATAACAATAATTCAAACTGACCAGCACAGAGTATTCCTTGCAACTATTAACTGCATCATCTAATGAAACAAAAAGTTTATTTATTTATTTGTTTGTTTGTTTGTTTTTTTTTTTATTTTTTTGATTTTTCCCCGCCCCTCTAGACAACGTCTACTCGTACACTACATCTCCGTACACACTGTTACTCCAACCACACCCTACAAGCCAATGTCATAGCAGACTTTACATGAACTTTCACTGACTGGTATAGAATTAAGATTTTGCTGTAGAGTTTCACTTTCCAGCTGTCAGTTCTCATAAGGAGATGGCATTGCCCACAGCATAATTCTGCCTAGTAGCAACATATTCCTAGGAATGAAACATAGTGGATAGAAGAGAAGTATGAAATGTACTGTCAGATACGTTTTTTATATGTAAGTGTACTTGTCAGTATGCATATTTTTTCCTGTTAATATTTTTGGAGGCATTAATGGGTTACTTAATGTCATGGTCCTTCTAAGACCTTCAAATTTCAGCCTAATGAGTAAACTAGCTTGGAGCATAATATCTAACAGCTAAAATATAATAGGCTTAATTCAGTTTAGACAAGAATCTGCATCTGTTTTGTTCCAATTTAAGTGACCTGTATTAAAAACATTTAGATCTGCACAACAATGGTTCTATTTCTATGAGTACTGTTGATTGGATAATGTCCTATGTAGTTCTAGAACGTTTCAGAAAGTCTATATAACTTCTGTTTGGTCATCCTGTTCATGACTGCAGGGACACTGATGGAGTAAATAAGGCATTGTTATATGATGTCACATATCAGTCTCACAAATATCTGCTTTGCTTTGCAGACATGGATTCTTTGCATCAAGGCTTGCCAACAGATATTCTTATAGCAAAAATGTAGGAAAACTTTCAGTGTTCATGTAAGATTTTGTACAGCTTCAGCAGTTAAGCCAGGGAGGTTGTCAAAAGGAGTCACCAAGGACCTCTGAGATACCCACTATGCTTTTGGCCTGCATGGGATATGGCTGTTCTATGGTTTTAGAAAAATTCAATTGGCTAAAGCTCAACTTGATTATCAATGAAAACCATCCTGACAAAATGGCTTGTATAAAATGACCTTTTAAAAAAGTGTCTCAAATATTTCCCAGCAGAAAACTTAAAGAAAAAAAAATGCTTCCCACTATCCTCATAGGTGCATTTGGTGGAGATATTCAATAAGGCCCTCTCTGTTGCTGCTCCCAAGCTCTGGAACTCCTTCCTGTGGGAGACCAAGCTGGCCCCATCTTTGCTGCCCTTCTGCAAGCTGGAAAAAACCTTTATCTTTAGGCAGGCACTTTCTTAATGGCTGGCTCTCTAAGAACATTTCACTTAAATGGGACTGCTGTGTTTTTATCAATTATTTTCAGTGTGTTTCTACTCCTGTTTTTATCTACTAATTTTAATTTTATATTTCTCTAATTCTTTTTTCATATTGTACAGTGTCACCGAAGTTACCAACATGAATTTGACCAAACTCCAGGAGGCACTGGAAGACAGGAGGGCCTGGCGTGCTCTGATCCATGGGGTCACAAAGAGTCGGACAAGACTTAACAACTAAACAACAACAACAATAGAGAATATACACAATTTTCCATTGCTATTCACTTGGAGAGTTACTCCTCTCTAAGTTTTCTGAGAACAGCTGGGAAGGCAAGGACTGAATAGTGATCAGATGTTCCGTTGATCCTAAGTTCCAGTTGTCATCATGTTGTTTCTGGATGTAATGGAGGAGGGATACTGCAGAGAAAGAAGTGGATCTAAACAGATGACACTGGCGCTGCAGATTTCACCTGAGAGATGGAACTCTCATTTTTTCAGCATTTTCTCAACCTACTTTTTACCTCCCCTCCCCCCCAAATGGCAAACTCCATACTGAGATGATGCCGTCAACACAAAAGCCATAAAAATGTGCAGAGACATTTAAAAACAAAAACAAAACAGAAGTCCAGGTGAAGGCAGAAGGGGAGACTTTCCAGCTTTCTTATCAGTTTATGGTCTGTCCTGGATGAAACCCATTTTTTCTCTGCAGTATGCCTCCTCCATAATGAAGAAGAAGAAGACAATAACAACAACAAGCTGGCTGGATAGCTCGCTTATTGTGGAGCCAGAGGCTGGGATGTCACATGCTGGCTGGACAGCTCATTGATTGTGGAGCCAGAGGCTGGGATGTCACATCCCCATTGTGCCTCCAGGGAGAAAAGCCAGTCTGTGTGGTCATGGGCAAGGTGCACAGTCTTAGGGTGCCCCTAGAAGTTGGGAACAGTAAAGCAATTCTAAGTACTCTCTACTTGGAAAACCCTGAAAAGAGTTGCCATAAGTCCGAACTGACTTGAGGGCACGTGATGACAATGATAATATTCCTCCTCTGTTACATCTTGAAGTAGTAGAATAAAATTGTGCCACTAGAAGAACAGTAAAGCAATTCTAAGTACTCTCTACTTGGAAAACCCTGAAAAGAGTTGCCATAAGTCCGAACTGATGATGATAATATTCCTCCTCTATTACATCTTGAAGTAGTGTAGTAAAATTGTGAACAAAGAGACTGTATTACATGAAAAAGGAAGGAAGACCACGTATTGACACCAGCAAGACTCGCAATCAAAGAAAAGTGGAAGAATTTGCCCGAGCACTTGAGGAACCCCTTCCAGGCCCAGCTGATGCAAATGCACCTGAACAATGGGAACATTTCAAAAATGCTGTTTATAACACTGCCCTGTCCACATTTGGCAAGAAGACCAAGAAGATGGCCAACTGGTTTGAAACCCATTCGGAGGAGTTCATGCCAGCCATCGAGGATAAGAGGAGAACTGTTTAGCGAACAGCCCTGCCCTCACCTGTTCGTCACAGCTGAACAGTGGAGTAGGAGCCAATGAGAGGACGGAAGGTGGAGCCAAGGGGGGAGGGGGCTGGATATAAATGCTGGTGCATGGAGACTGAGAGGGAGATTCTGTGAGTGAGAGACAGTGTGAAACTTAAAAATGAACTTAGAGTGAGTTTGAGTTCTGTAAGAACGCTGAATGGTACAGAGAGTTATTAGAGATTTAAAGTCAAAGTAGAACTGATACAAATACAAGTGATTAGCAACCTGTGATTTACCAATGGAATATTAATCAGATGTTAACTTCCCTGATCAAATAAATGACTTAAGTTTTGAAAGCACACATGTCTCCTTGATTAAGTGGTATTAAAGCAGTAATAGCTGGTGGCAGCGAAGAAGAAAGAAGAGCGAGAACCTCGTGAAGGCCTGGGGAATAGGGGCTTCAGAGGGGATCGCCACAAACTCTAGCAGCATACAAAGCCTGTCCTAGTGAGTACAACTTGTAAGCTGTTCGAGCTGTGCGTAGCCAAGTCTAACGGGCTACCAGGAGATGTTTGAATGATTATTAGTTTCAGATCTGCTCTCAGATACAGTTAGCAGCGGACACAGGTAACATCAAGGGAATGTATGATGGTATCAAGCAGGCTTTAGGTCCAATACAGAAGAAATCTGCTCCCCTGAAGTCTGCTACAGGTGTGTTAATCCAGGACCAAGCACAGCAGATGGACCACTGGGTGCAGCACTACTCTGAGCTATATTTCAGAGAGAATGTAGTAACTGAAGAAGCATTAAATAACATTGAATGCCTGCCTGTCTTGGAAGAGTTGGACAGCGAACCAACCTTAGCAGAAATAAAATCGGCCTTGGATTCCCTTGCCTCTGGTAAGGCACCTGGAAAGGATAACATCCCTGTTGAAGTGTTGTAAAAAGACCATCACCACCGAACTGTATGAAGTCTTTCGATTAGCTGGAGTGAAGGCGTAGTACCACAGGACATGAAGGATGCAAACATTGTCACATTGTACAAGAACAAAGGAGACAGGGGCGACTGCAATAACTACCGTGGCATCTCTCTTCTCAACATTGTAGGGAAGCTGCTTGCCCATGTTGTGCTAAAGAGGCTCCAGGTGCTTGCAGACAGATTCTATTCAGAATCACAGTGTGGATTTCGAGCTAATAGATCCACCAATGACATGGTATTTTCCCTCAGATAGTTGTAGTAGAAATGCAGGAAACAACAACAGCCACTCTTTGTGGCCTTCATAGATCTTACAAAGGCCTTTGACTTGGTTAACTTGGCCTTTTTAAAATACTTCCCAAGATTGGACGTCCACCTCGACTCCTTAACATCATCAGGTCCTTTCATGA